AAATCTTGTAATTAATATTTAACACACTTCTACCTGTCCAATCGATCTGAAATTTTGCATACTTGCGTAAAGTTGGAGACAATGCATGAAGTAATTGACAGAATAAATAATTTAAAAATTACAAAATTTTTATTATTTATATTGAAAAAATTTATGAATTATTAATTCATACATTATTCATGAATTATTGAATTCATTATTCATTAATTCATGAATTAGTTATGAATTATTAAATTCATATGTCAACAACTTCAACGGTTAATACAACCTCAGCCAAACCCAGCCCGGTTCACTAAACCTTGTCCGAACCCAGACCAGTTGACTAAACCGCGTCCGAACCCAGCCCGGTTCACTTAACCTTATCCGAACCCAGACCGGTTCACTCAACCACTTTTGAACACGCACACAACCCCGTTTGAATACACATGGTTCACACAACCTCGTCCGAACCCAGCCCTGTTGATTCAACGGCTTTGGAATCCAGCCCGGTTCACACAACCTCGATCGTTCGAACCCATCCCGGTTCACTCAACCACGTTTGAACCACACACCAACTCGTTTGAACACACATGATTCACACAACTTCGGCCGACCCCAGCCCGGTTCACATAACCTCGGCCGAACCCAGCCCGGTTCCACCCAAACTTTTGCGCGCGCGTTGGTTTGGTTATTCCCATCGACGACGACGAAACGTGGCAGCCAACAATGGGTTGAAAACAGCACCACTTTAAGATTCTGCCGCCGAAACTGATGAATCTTTTGCCGCTGAAATTAACGTCGTGGAAATTTCAACCAGAGGAGAAGATTCAATCAAAACGGCGGACATTTCAACCCAAAGTGCGTAAAATTCAACCCAAAGTGCGTCGAATTCAACCCAAAATGCGTCCATTTCAACCAAAAAAGATTCAAATGATAACCGTCGTGGTTTAGAACCTGAAGCTGCCGGGGTGAAACCCGTTGGGTTGAAGGGTCAAGAGCCCCAGACTCGGTCCCCCAGAGAAGCAAAATGAGTGACTGGTTGAAGTTTCGGGTTGAAAAGATGGAGTATCTCCTTCGTCTCGAAGAGCACGTGCACTGGCAGGAAGGTGTTCAACAAGTACCTACAATCTTACCTACATTTGTACCGCAGACTTTAATCTTACCTACATTTGTATCCCAGACTTTAATTTAATTTAGAAGCATAAACGTCAGATATTTTTTTAATAATTTTAAAAGTAAGTTGAAGCGCTAAATAAAATTGCCTGAAAAGTTTTAATAATTTGAGATCATTTATTAATTAAATACTTGAAAGAATTAATGTAATTGTCATGAATAGATTGATAACTAATATATGTATATAAATATATATTATAAATAGATATTCTGTGTGGTTCGAATAATATACAATGTTGGGGATGTATAAATTTGTTAATAGAATGAAAAAACTATATACCTGTATTTATTATTGAATTTATATTTTATTGTTCTAATTAGGTACATTTTCATTTCCTGAACCAACGTATCATGCGACGTACCAACGTACCATGTGACGTAACAACGTACGTGCGACGTACCAACGTGCATGTGACGTACCAACGTACCATGTGACGTTCCAACGTATCATGTGACCATGTGACGTACCAACGTACCATGTGACGTACCAACGTACCATGTGACGTACCAACGTACCATGTGATCTACCAACGTACCATGTGACGTACCAACGTACCACGTGACGTGCCCACGTACCATGTGACGTACCAACGTACCCCTGCAGATCACGATGACGGCGCACGTGTACCACAGCTACCGTCAGCCCAACAGTACCAACCGCTGTACCTGCGCCTCCCCGCACCCCTGGTACTGGGGTACTTGGCGGGGTACTTCGGGGAGAACTGTGGGTATACTTACGGTGGTACTTGGGGTACATTCAAGGGTACTTGGGGTACATTCAATGGTACTTGGGGTACATTCAAGGGTATTTGGGGTACATTCAAGGGTACTTGGGGTACATTCAAGGGTACGTGGGGTACATTCAAGGGTACTTGGGTACATTCAAGGATACGTGGGGTACATTCAAGGGTACTTGAAGTACATTCAAGAGCACTTGGGGTACATTCAAGGGCACTTGGGGTACATTCAAGGGCACTTGGGGTACATTCAAGGGTACTTCAAGGGTACTTGGGGTACATTCAAGGGCACGTGGGGTCCTCCTCTTGTAAAGTAATAAAGAGAACTGTCACCGAGACTGTAACAGTAGTAAAGAGATAATACTTTATATAAATTAATGCATCGGATTCCGTTAATAGCCTTATACGTCGCAAGCGAAGGCGAGATAGACCAAATAATCACTACCTAAACACCACCCTTAGGTCCTATTGTATATATGTATTTCATCGCGCTACGTTCATTAATTTGGAAGATTTTGTCAAGTTCGCGGTAAATTTGACTATCGGCCGCAGAAATACCGGTCGCTTCACCTATAGCCGAATGAATCGCAAATTAAATCTCAATTGAAAATGTTTGTGCGAGCTAAACACCATCGGCAGGTAATTAGGAAATATATTCTTAGTTTTGTTTAAATTTGTAAAGTAGGATAGAATATTATTTTGCTCACTGCCCGTATATGATGGAAACGAAGGCAAAATAAAAAATCATCTGTATATATAGGGACTTAAGGAGACCGTTTCGGTCAAAAATCGATAATTTTGGCTTCTCAGGTTTTTTCGGCGCATTTTGTAGCTGCTGAAAAGGCGCGTCTAACGAAGCAAACCGCATGTCTGTGCGTGCTCTAGTTTTTGCTTAAAGCGATTTCAAAGATATATAAAATGAACATATGTTAACAATATGCACACGGATTACTTTGAAATAAATTCTGTATATATAGATCAATATTCTCGTTGCAAAGTGTTTGCACTCGCTTGAAAGCTAAAAACGAGACGCGTTCAACAAAGCTGCTACCACGGATGTACATGCAATAATTTTTGCGTAATGCAGTGTTGAACTTTTATAAAATAGCCATTTTATAACAATATTTACTAATTTTCATTTGAAAATATCATTGCAGATCATTATTTACATTAATTGCAAAGTGTTGGCGCTCGTTTGTAAGCTACAAAAGATGTGCGTTCAAGAAAGCAAATATCACGGATGTACATGGATTGATTTTTGCGTAATGCAGTTTAGAAACATCCGTGCAGTTAGAATGCAGTTTGCGTAATGCAGTTTAGTGATATTTATTTATATAAATATCACAAAAAATTGTATAGATAGCTTATTATTCACGTTAAACTGGACAAGAATGAGTCTAAAGACGCGTGCTGGTACCCTAAGTGCAACTAATTGGCAATGGAAATGCTTGGGCTAAAATATCAAACAATTTTTTAGACATATCCTCCTTTTTTCAATAAATTTTGCTTATTTGGCTCCTCTGAACAATTAAAATTTCCAAAACGCGCCATCCTAAAAATCTATTTCCTCATATGATTTTCAAGCTACATCAAAGAGAGATATATCATTCGATTTGTAAAAAAAATCTCTAAAAACAGTGCGATCAATTTTTGATTTCGTTATAGTTTGGATTATATATTGGAAAAAGGGGTCGGAGGCAGGAAAAATTTGAAATTTTTTGGAAAATTTTAGGAAATCCCCCCTCTCTCCCAAACAAATTCAAAATTGAAAAAAGTGATAGGATAGTTCTTAGATATGGTCTTTCCAAATCGAATGATATGTTTCTCGCTGTCGCAGCATTTTTACTGAATAAGGAGATAGATTTCTCCATAACCCCCTTTTATCGCCGTTGCCTATCAATTTCACGCTTTTTAGCGCATTTTCTCTTTTATGGAAAAAATGCACTATTGTGCTCGCCATGTCCGTCCGTCCGTCTGTCCGTCCGTGACTTCACGTTTTCGTCGACGAGAAAATGCGCTCTCTGTCACTCACTGCAGTGAGTACTGAGTTATATATATATATATTTTTTTTCTTTTCGAAAAATAATTCATACGAACAAATGAGTTATCGATTTCTGTTTTACATATGTGTACCGAGTTTCAAGGTTTTTGTTTTTAAAAACATTGATAAAAAAATAAGTTTTTTGACCGAAACGGTCCCCTTAAACATCACCTGCAGGTCCTAATGAATGCATATGCAGTTTCATCGATCTGCCTTCATTAGTTTCAGAGACATTTTATGTTCACTGAATCTTGGAAACCGGCCGGAAGACAAGTCGGAAAAGTGTCCGAGAGGTTACAAATCCCAACATGGTGGAGCCAAGTTCGCCAAAAATTGAATTTTAATGTTAGTCAGGGGTTAAATGAAATTCAAGTAAATACTGGAGGATGAAAATTCAAAAACATTTGTGACATAGGTAGTGTTTTATCTTTCGTATTATTGTGCCATCTCTTACTGATAGTACATTTCCCCTGCGTCTTGCACGTCATGCTCAAGTCCAGCACCTGCATGTTTCTTAGCTGCTGTCAAAGCATGCGCATTGCGGCTGAGTTGATAGCAGATCGGCTATTCAAAGCACCAGTAGATACTAAAGGCTAAGTGCAGAAACAGTTTATGATTAATTATCAGAACCACGATGAAATTAGTAAAGTACCTTATGCTTATCCGGAATACAGATCTCTCACAGGTAGAAATGTCATCAACAGAAAATATAATTGATATTTTCTAAAAATAATTAAGTAATATATTTGCAGTACTCATGTAGGGAGCCCTGAGTGCACGATTAGACTCATAAATAATTAGGTATCACTTTCATTCGGATTTTATGAATTGCTTCAAGTCATTCTCAATTCCACGATCCCTCTTTAGTATACAAGGTCATTACTTGCAAAATGTTCGAGATAATCACGCTGCTTATCACTGACCAGCGTGGGAGTTCAACAGATGCAAACTAAACTGCCCAAGTGGGATGATTCTTTTTCTCTTATATAAGAACTGTCTTAATCTCCACAACACAACATAGTTACTAGGGCTGTTCTGTAATAAAGTTGTTCGGTCTTCAGAGTTTAAAACGTCGCTGTCACTTCAGCAGTGAACAAGAATGCCGTCTAAAAATTGTTATCTGAATACTGTATTATTTTCATTGATTGGCCTTACGGCAATAGGGGCTGTCCTTGCTACTCGTGAAGCGTAAGTAATTAAACCTCGAGAAAAAAGGCACTATAGTCATATTTGGATACTATTAAAGATGTTACTTTAGGAGCTAATAATTTTGTTGCAATTATGTAAACATGGTCTAGGAGCGAGACTATTCAAGCTACCTTTCTGTAAGGCTAATCAAGATCCAATTGAGAGACATCCACATGAGGATAAGTGAGGCCTGGCGTCTTATTACTTTATTTTAAGCACTTCGGCACATCTCAACGATTATTGAGCCTCATTATTCAATAGCAATTTTTGCTGGCAGTTGGGGTGGCACTCCGGAGGCGCGACGAGCCGTCGAGTTCTGGCAGGAGGAGGTCGTGTAGCAAGTGTACCCGCGGTCACTGCAGGACAGCGATGCGGACAGCGTGGGCGACTTATTAGGTAAAAATTGTGAGGGGTTTGCTTTGGTGCTACTGCTACGTAATATTTAATGATAAAATAATTCTTTAAAAAATCAAAGGGAATGGCCAGTCTAGTCAAGAAAAGTACAAGAATCGGCGACAGGCCTATCCAGGTCTATTTATTTAATGCCGAAGATACTATACTATACTATACTATACCATACTATACTATACTATACTATACTATACTATACTATACTATACATGACTCATGAGCAACGACAGAAGAGATTAATCGTCATGTCACCCTGAACACCTATGCTATGTCAACGTCATGATTGAAAGAAAAACTGATTCTCGTTCGGATATTTATTTTTCAATAATTTATGAACTTACAATATGAATCATCCCTATTTATTCATTGATTTAGGTACAATAAAGAGTTCAGATAAATTAAAAGATCCGCCGAAAATATATACATCGGTAAGAATGAGCTAGTCAAATCTGGACCAACAACATTAGAGAAACGTGGTAGTGAAGCATTACAGAGTGAAACAAAAGGCAACAAAAAGAAAAAATTTGAATGGTTGAAAAGAAATGTGATTTATCAGGTGTATCCACGATCATTTCGCGACACCACAAAGAATGGAGTGGAGGACATCAAAGGTTAGAGAATAAGCGTAATGGATGAAGTAGCTCGAGTGATGGGAGAACGATTTAAAATTCAGCTCTCTGCACCATTTGGCCCTAGATCATTGCTCCAAATTTAAGCGTACAAAATTAATCTATTGTGATCTATATGAACACAATTCGTCTTGATATTCGAAAGTAATCCTTCTTATGAAACTGAATTTGTAACAAATTATTCACTTGATTTTTGTCTATGGTAAGTTGTCGTGTGAAAATCCATTTTAGCTTCACTTACCGCGATACTGTCCCACCACAGGCATCGCGTCCCGACTGCCCTACCTCTCATCGTTGGGGATCGGTGTCGTATGGCTGAGCCCTATTTTCGCCTCCCCAATGGCTGATTTTGGCTATGACATCTCGAACTTTACGGCGATCGATCCCATTTTCGGGACAATGGAAGATTTTGACAGTCTTCTCCAAGCAGCGCACGACTTGGGTGAGACCAACATGAAGTTGACAGTTTACTGAACAAAATAACTTGGAATTATGGAGCATACCTCGTTGACGGAATTTTGGATGATCGTGTTTTGAAATTTTGTTACCGTTTGATCCAGGCCTGAAGGTGGTTATGGATTTGGTGCCAAACCATAGCAGCGACGAGCATGAATGGTTCCAGAAGAGCCTCGCCAAAGAAGACCCATATACCGACTACTACATGTGGTCTAATGCCAGTGGCTTCGATGAAGTGGGCAATCCACTCCCTCCCAACAACTGGGTTCGTTAGTTATAATAAATATCTAATATTTCTTGATTATTCACAATTTACAGCGGACTGTCATTAGTACGTAGTTTAATTTAGTTTTATTCGTTTTTTCTAAATTGTTGTAGTGCTCCTATCAGCTGCTCCTAGTAGAGGATGAAATTAATACATGCAATGTTGAGCCACAAGTCTGCATGCTCTGCTGTCAACATGACTGATTGATTACTTCTCAGAAGAGTAATATCTGATGCATTAACAATTACAAAAGTTTTGAATTATTAAGTTTGGTTCCCTGCCAATGATTCATTGATTCTGTTCATGAAAAAATCGCATCTGTAGGGTTAAATCGTATAAACAGGGGTTAAACAAAATAAAGGAAACACCTGAGAAATCCACAAAATATACCAAAATATACTTTAGTATGGTGTAGGTTCACCTTTTACGGCAATTACAGCCTCAATTCTTCGAGGTAGCAATTCATACAATTGTGAATTGTTTAGAAAGGAATTTAACCCATTTTTCTGTTAAAACTCCCTCCAGCTCTTTTAAAAACGAAGGCGGCGGGAATCTACTTCTGACATGCATCAGTAAAATCGACCATAAATGCTCAATAATATTCAGGTCTGGTCAAATGAGATTCTCAACTTCATTAGAATGTTCATCGTGCCATTTTTTAACAATTCCAGCAGCATGGATCGGAATATTAATTTTCATCTTGAAAGATGGCGTTCCCCTCCGGAGACAGTGCTCTAACCATTGGATGAACTTGGTCCTCCAAACTTTCAAAATAGTCACGGCTGTTGTTTCTTCCATGAAGAGAAATCATTGGTCCGCCAGATTTCCAAGAAATAGCACCGCTGATCATCGCAGATCCAAGGCCTTGTTGTACGGTTGGGAGGAGGCGGCCGGGATTGAATGACTTTTGGCCGTCTCCATAAATAAACTCGGCCAGATGTTTGCATTTGTATTTGAACCAGAGTTTCCTAATGGCAGTTCTTCTATATAGTTCAGATATGTGCAGCTCTCAGCGGACATACTCTATGGAAACTGGGTTCTGAAGGTGTCCATTGAGGTCTGCAGTAATTTTAACAGCCGTGGTCTTTCGATTGTCCCTCGCAATTTGATTTAGGTACCGACGGTCTCTCTCAGACATACTTCGACTTTCGGCCAGACCTGTGCCTTGCTGAGAATGTTTTGTTTCTCTTTCAAAAGCAGTCATTACTTTTGAGACAGTACCTTTAGAAACGTCAAGCACTCGGGAAGTTTCTGTCACACTAGGACCTACCATTCGGGCACCAACAATTTGGCCTCTTTGAAAGTAAGAGGTTTGCCATGCATAGATCATAGGATAGGTTATAGACATGAAAATTTACTAGAAATATCTGTGCAGGGATAAAATATCAATTAGTACAACAATAAACAATAAAACATAGAAAGATGTCACGTTTTCATTGTTTATAACATCTTCAAAAATTACGAAACCAAAATGTCAAGTGTCTAATTTGTCTAATCCCTGTTTAATTATCCGCAATAAGCTTGTGTTGAAGAAGGCTAACTCTCAGGACACGATTTCATTCTTACTGAACAATAAAACATAGAAAGATGTCACGTTTTCATTGTTTATAACATGTTCAAAAACTACGAAACCGAAGTGTCCTGTGTTTCCCTTATTTTGTCTAATCCCTGTATTTACTTGATTATCCTCAATAAGCTTGTGTTGAAGAAGGCTAACTCTCAGGCCACGATTTCATTCTTACACTCATAATGCGCTGAATATTACGTGTAATTCTTGTGATTAATATTTCTTTATAGTTGAGTGTTTTTGGAGGCCCGGCTTGGAAAAGGATGGAAGGAAGACAACAGTTTTATTTGCACCAATTCCTAGAGAAGCAACCAGACCTCAACTTCAGGAATCCCGCCGTGCAGACTGAGATGCAAGTGGGTTCCAGTTTACTGTACAATCATGCTTGTATATACTACTTTTACATATAAAACTTAATTTAAGAACATGACTCATGTCTATTAGAATAAAATTATATTATATTATATTCATAATGAACATGCGCAAAAAATAATTTAGAATATATTGTAGTCAATTTAAAATGCACATAATATATACTGTAGATTTTATATACAAGATACCATTCGGTAATTCCGCTACCGAGAAATTCCAGTTGTTAATATTGATGGAAATATTTACAGTTTCCATTATTCGAGTGGCAAGAATGTTTAAAAAGTGTTGTACATAGGTACTGCGTAATTAAGTTCTTTCAGCGCATTAAAAACTTCAACATTAAAGTTGGCGAGATAATTAATTTTTTTGACCGAAACGGTCCCCTGAAACATCACCTGTAGGTCCTAATGAATGCAGTTTCATCGAGCTGCCTTCATTTGTTTCTTCAGAGACATTTTATGTTCACTGAATCTTGGAGACCGGCCGGAAGACCGGTCTCTCCTATTAGTTAATAGTCCCACGCTTTAGCAGAACGTGATCAAGTTCTGGATCGACAAGGGACTCGACGGTATGAGGATCGACGCAATCAAGCATCTTGTGGAAGTAGAAAATTTAACCACTGATGAGCCTTTGTCTGGAGATCCTAACGTTCAAGATCCAAATGAATACGGATACTTGGCACACCCTTACACCACAAACCAGCCGGAAACCCTGAATATCATGAGGCAATGGAGAATACTCCTGGACCAGTATCCAGAGAGGTAATTCATTTAGGATATTCGTGAATAAATGAGGTTAAAATTTCTAAAGCTGTTACCGATAGTTTTCAGACATTTCCAACCAATTTAGGAAGCTATGCATTATACCCACACGGAGCTTATACAATTTAAATTAAACGGCCGATAGTAATATCCTTGTTAGGTACACATGTATTTAAAATCCATGAATATTATTAAATTTGTTATAATTTTACTTGTTGGACGCGCCGGGTTGACATTGTAATGCGATTTTATATTTTCAGTAAATTGATGATGGCTAAAGTGGGCTACAATGGGGAAGAGATAGACTTGGTAATGAAATATTATGGAACGGAGGAAGAGCCAATTGCAGACTTCCCCTTCAACTTCAACTTTATCGACAATTTCCACAATAGATCGGACGTCACCGGGTTTTCTTTGAAGTTCACCGTGACCGAATGGCTGGACAACTTGCCTGCGGGAAAATGGCCTAACTGGGTGGTAGGCATTGTACTAACGCTTTCTTAATAAATTAGAAAATTTTCAGTTAGAATTGGACTACTATGTTTTATGGTAGTTGAGGTTCTTATATTTATTACAAAAAACGTGTGGAGGTTTATTGTTATATAGAGTAATTTTGTTCGTGTTTGACTAGTGTGTTTATTTTGTTTTAGACTCGAGTTCCATGTTAACAATATTTGATCCACGCATAAAAACAAAAATTTAATTATTTCCCCATGAACTGAATCTAATAACTGATCAGACCAGAATTACCAAGCCACAAAATAAGCGAAGTCCTCGTCCTGCCAGCTTGGTAACCACGACCAGACTCGCATAGCAACCCGCATGGGCAAGGACTTGGTCGAAGCGCTCAACATGATGACGCTCCTGCTGCCCGGGACGCCGGTTACCTACTACGGCGAGGAGATCGGCGAGTTTTTTATTATTGTGTTTAATACTTGTGGTGTTAGAAGCCTTTGCAGCTCCGAGCAGGGCTCGGTTATTTTATATCCCTAGTAGTGTAAAAGGAACTGTAGCCTGAGGTGAGGCTCAGTGTCGCACTTCCCGAGGAAGATTTTTTTAGTATTGACGTGGAGAAGGAAAGGATGTCGGACATGACTATAACTTTTCTTATTCATTATTAAGGAAAAAATTAGAATAGAGAAAATTATTTGCTTTATGTGAGAGTAGAGGCTGGAAAATAAAAAGGCTTTAATGATAAATAGGAAGTACAAGATGATATTAGCCAATTTAATTCTATTCGTGTGAATGATTCGGTTTCAGCGCTCCATTTTTATAAGTATAAATTCAACGCATTTGGCGTTCAGATCTGGGAAGTTCTTCTGACTTTAATAATCTTGCAAGACGTTACAGAAGAAGTAGAACGATCAATTAAAGTATTTATAATACAGTACCACTAAAAACCAGTCTTAAAGATTCTTTCGAATCGTTCACCATCGACGAAACAAATTAGGGCTATACACAATGATATAATAATTTATCGTAAATCTTTACATTTCCCTCACTATTATCGTTTGAAACATGTGCTCGGGTTTCGTTTTGGCTTCGTTGAGCTTACACTATTTCCATGTTCGACCAGGAATGGAAAACACTTTCGTTTCGTTTGAGGATTCGAAAGATCCGTCGGGCTGCATTTGGGGCCCCGACCGTTACATGGAGTTCAGTCGCGACCCTCAGAGAACCCCAATGCAGTGGGACAACTCGACCCTAGCTGGCTTCACGGACGGACCCTCCTCCTGGCTTCTGGTCGAGGGTCGACCGGAGGTCGAGGGTCGAGGAACCCGCGACCCTCGACCTTCACAGACGGACCCTCCTCCTGGCTTCCCGTTAACGAAAATTACGTCACATTGAACGTTGCTCAGCAGGAAGCTGCCGACCAGAGCTGCATTAAAAATTACAAGCAGTTGACGGCCCTCAGGAAAGCTGAAGTTTTCTTCTCCGGAGAGCTTGCCTTCCCTGTGATTACGAATGAAATTTTCTCATACGTCAGGTTCGTTCTCATTGCCAGTATCTGTGAAGAATGCGATTATATGCAAGTTTTATTGAGGCCAAGGAGTAAATAAACAATGTTTTATGCTATTTCAATTGATTTAGACTCAAGTTTAATTCAGAAGTTCGAAGATATGGTTTCCAATGAATGTTTTGTTTTAGTTGAACGACGTTTCGAAAGTAACATTATATATTTTCAAATTAAATGAAGATTTTTCAACGCTTAAAATGAAATTCTGCATAAACGATAATTGAAACATTATGTATTAATCATTCCTACCCAAATATACGGATTAAGAAACGAAAGTAAAATATTGTGTGATTTGTGAGACATGAAATATACACGGAGTCTCAGATATTTTACTGATCGATATTAAGTATAGTGTCTGATATTTTGCTGTTGAATATTAGGTGGAGAGGCAGACATTTTGCTGCTATATATTAAAGAGAGTGTCAGATACATCAGTGATGATAACTGTTGGGCGTCAGGTACTTGGCCGACAACCCCACCTACTTGGTCCTCATCAACGCCAGCGAAGAGCAGGTCACCGCCAACCTGCACCACGACGCAAACTTCGTCCTGCCTCCCACGGCGCTGCTGGTGATGCGCACGAGCAGTGATACTCGGCCTGTTACCGTGCCGGGGTGAGGCTTTGTTACCGTGCCGGGGTGAGGCTTTCTGTGTAGGCCATCATGCCGGGGTGAGGCTTTCTGTGTAGGATAGCATGCCGGGGTGAGGCTTTCTGTGTAGGATAGCATGCCGGGCTGAGGCTTTCTGTGTAGATAGACCATCATGCCGGCGTAAATTCTTTCGTTTTTTCTTATTCATCGAGCTAAATCCTTGGCTGGTGAAATGCATCGTCAGTATTTTGAAGTCATGTCAATTATCCAATCATCTTCTACTCCATATTTTTGTAGTTAATTTATGTACATTTAAGCCTTGAATATTTTATTGAGCCACATAATTGTTGATGATTTTGAACTTTCTTATTGTATCCTGCGCAGAACTGTGATCGACCTGAGTGCGGTACCTATGCTGGCTGGCGAGGGCATGGTGATGCAAGTGCTAAATTTTTAAATTCTTCCACCTTCTTAATGAGTCAACAATTTCATCTTTAATTCATCATATCACCGCAATTAATACTTACTATGCATTTCAAAGTTACGTCCCATTTAAGTAACGAAGGTTGAGCTTCGATGTTTGCTTGGTGAAAATTGTGACCTGTGTGCCCTGGTGGATAAAATCTCGTCTTTAGGTCATTAATATGGCGTGTCTAAGCTATTAATTAATTAACAGAGCTTCTTCTTTCAACATACATGGTTAGGCATAATTTAACAAAACTGCAAATTACTGTTATGTAATGATGAATACACGTGCCAGTCAATTTGTCAGGTTGAATCAGTTAATTTCTGATCTCGTTCGTAAATCATCCAGCGCCTGTCCGTCAATAGTTTTCAAATGCACTAATGGAATGAATTATAAAATCAGAACTGAGAATACACGAAGCCACCACCCTTCACTCTAGCAAAATTGAAAAAAATTGTCAATTCTGCAAGTCGTTTTATTCTATCATAAATCACAGATCCTCTTGTATAGTTGCAGATGCAGGAATAGTGTTCGAAAAAAGGAGGCATAAATCTAGTGCAGCCGCAGATTATGATAAGTCATGTTCAGTACAAATTACTGAAAATTTTCCTTTGTAGAATTAGGCAAGTTCTAGCCATAGAAATTTGTATCACAGTTAGCGGGTTGCGACTGGTGCGACAGCAAGGTGCCCTCACTGTTTTGGTAAGGAACTATTTATTTTTGGATACTTATTACGTATATTATTACTACTTTCATTCTAGAGTAGTTTTGTTGGAATGATGAGTAATTCATGATTATTCCACTATTCTATTATAATTTACGCTTGTTCATTTGTGTGTTAATTTGTTTACAGAAACCGTTTGCGGCATGTTTAATAATAATGAAGAACCTAGCACAAGTTAATGACATATATCCTGCAACGAGTTATTTCAGCAGTATGGGAATTTAATACGAAAGACGACAAAGAAAGTGGCTGCTAATGTAGAAGTCGTCTTTATCTAGTGTAGGCTAACTGCAACCGCTCACAATGTTGAACTTCAGAAAAAATCAGGTCATCAAACTTTAATGACATTCGTTATGGAATAAATTAAACATCGAACATGAACAACTTTTGTCGTTGAATACATTTTTTAACACGTTAAATACGTGTTAAATTATAAAAAAAAAATAATAAGTGTTATATACTGGAGAGTGTCGTTAAAAAACATGAGTAACAATCGTCACGAAATAATGGGTCAGTGTTCATGAACAACTGTTGGTATGTAAGAAGTGAGTTTGATTTTAAACATGAACAACTGTGGACGTTATATAAGCACGATTTTAAACATGGACAGCTGTGGACGTTAAATAAGCATGACTTTAAACATGAACAACTGTGGACGTTAAATAAGCTCGATTTTAAACATGAACAACTGTGGACGTTATATAGGCATGATTTTAAACATGAACAACTGTGGACGTTATACGTAGTATAAGCATGATTTTAAACATGAACAACTGTGGACGTTATACGTATAAGCATGATTTTAAACATGAACAACTGTGGACGTTAAATAAGCATGATTTTAAACATGAAAAACTGTGGACGTTATATAATCATGATTTTAAACATGAACAACTGTGGACGTTATATAAGCATGATTTTAAACATGAACAACTGTGGACGTTAAACATGCATGATTTTGAACATGAACAACTGCAGACATGAAATAAGCATGATATTGAACATGAACAACTGTGGACATGAAATAAACATGATATTGAACATGAACAACTGTGGACATGAAATAAGCATGATATTGAACATGAACAACTGTCGACATGAAATAAGCATGATATTGAACATGAACAACTGTCGACATGAAATAGGCATGATGCGCATCAACGATTCATGGAACAGAGCAGCAGCTGTGGTGGTGTAAGAGGTTGCTTTTCTGGTGCACCTTTTATGTGTATAATAAATTAATAATTATATGAAAGACCTGAGGTTAGTTCGGGTTTAGTTTGTGATCAGATGATAAATGAGGCACAGAGTAAAGAACAATAGAGTACTTATTGATAGAGTAACACAGCTTACAGTTTATGGGATTACAGATAAAAAAATGAGTTTAAAACATTTGTCTACGCTCACGACTCGAAGGGGAATAAGTCGTTACTACCATAAGTCCTATACTCGGACTTATAGTCCTATACTATAAGTCCTCCTATATAGTAGGGCTATATAGGAGGACACCTATACTATAAGTCTTAATATAAGTCCTATACTCGGTAGTTCCCGTTCTTGACTGACGCTTCTCGTTCTGCCAGAGAGCTAACGTATATCTCGTTCAGTGAGTGACGTCGTTACTGAGACAGACAAACGATCGAACCTATCTAATTTCGGATGGCAGCTATCAATTCGGATGGCAGCTTACACGTCCTCCCTGGGGAAGAATGGTCATCGTCCTTCACCCTAAAAGAATCCTACAATAATAGAATCCTACCATATTGGTAGCTGGGTTAATCATACACGTGAAGAATCCTCTTTATAGTTTAACTCAAAATAACTGGTAAATTTGAATGACAAGATACATATTGGTTAATTTTTGTAAGGACGGTTGGAGCAAATGTACGGCATTGAATTCCTGGGGAAGGAATTCTGAAAGCTATAGAAAACGAAACCTTGCACGATAATGAACGATAAATTGTAATCTAAGGTGTATATGAAGAATACATACAAGATTATAACCAGTGGTTGAATATAATCCACTGGCACAAAGCTTAAGTGGGACGCGAAGGTATCCATTGATGACGGATGTCCTCCAACAGGGCTTTTTTTCAAATGAAGACACGGTTTGGTTGGTGACGTCACAAGTGACGTCAGCCGGCTTGACGTGTTGGTTGACCCACTACCTAGTAAAATACTTGATTGAATGAGTATATTCACCTAGTAAAATACTTAGATGAATCGAACTGCATGAAGTTGGTAGCCAGACTCTTGTCCTTGTCGATAAAAATATTATATAACATAAACCAGCGCAGAAGGCGTATTTATTACTTTTACAATAGATGAAACTCTAAATTTAAATGAATATACCTGGATTAGATACAAATTTAAAATAGTATTAGGGAAAAAATAGTACTAAATACTATTAAAAATAGTATTTAGTGTTATGCATCGCTCATCGTGTTCCATTAGATCGACTCCATTGATTTATTCCTTGCCATATACACGTGAAATCAAATCTTATGCTAGAAGACACCAGTTCAACCATTTGATGAGTTCTTGATCAATTGAATATCTATTAAGGCAATTTTCTCATAGCAATTGAACATTTTTATAGGTTGTTGAATATTCAATTTATTTAAACCCCTATTGGGGCAGTTTTAAAATATAAAATGAACGTCTACTTAGGGAATTGATAGAATTAAAATATTCTTTTATTGAATCGATTTAGCGTGGATATAAGGCTCCTAAATATAGATTGAAGTTCTCGCAAGAAATATATATCAATATATTCAATCTATATGATGCTTCATGAATAGAAGTTGAAGAAATATTTGTAAAAAGACCTCTACGCTCTACGGTTGATATTCGGGATACCTGAGTGGCAATTGTCGAGCCGCGAAGTTTTTCTCTATTGGATTGCATTACATCATTTGTAAATATTATCCAGGAATTTTATACACTCCTTCCACATTGATTAAATAAAATAAATTAATTAAATTCATTGAAATAGATTAAATCGTATCATGCTTATTCTGGGTCTAAATTCTTTACACCCATTAAAAGGAAATTAAGCAATAATCAGAGGAACACCGACGAGACGCGCGATGTTAAACTTAAGTACATCAATTTATTTCTACAACTACAGTCTCCTGGGATGACTAATAGATTTATAATATGTATTATAATGAGTTATAATATGTTATAATTTGATGACATTCCGAGGCGCATAGATTCTAACAATTGCGAAATTAACAATTTGCAACAAAACAATAACAATTCTTAAAAATGCTCAGGAATTTCATTCGCCTATTTGATGAAAATGAAAAAATGTAGTTAAAGAATATTATTCAATCTATATTATTTAAAATGACATTCAAATTGAATTAAAATTAAATAATTTTAATTACGCATTAAATATACGAGTAATATTACATATATGCTAAGACAAATGGCGTTTTATGCTCATTACTATATAGGCCGTAATGAAATGATAATTTTATAATAATGTGTGTAATAATCCATTCAAATAACCCACGTCATGAATATTTAAAATATTATAAATAACCCATGAAACTTGAATATTTTTCTTATGCATTGAATAGTTTCCGTTTAATAAACAGTTGTTTTTTATCTCACATTAGTCAGAAACCACTGATTTTCTGGATTCATCAATTATAAATAAGGATAAAAGTCACTACCACCAATACGAAAATTATAAAATATATTTTTCGCATATAGTATTACATAAAAATATAAGATTCTGTGTGATTTTTATCTGGTTCTTAGTTGCTCTGAATAAATAAAAGCTTCTTGTCGTTGGTCATGTGCCGTTCTAAAATAAAATAGATATTATATTTTATATTTTACATTCAATTATGCGAATACAATTCATAAAAAATGAACAACAAGATCAAAGAAATGATAAAAATTTTCCTAGTGAATTCATGCTAAAAACAGCTGAGCGGCCGACAATTGGAGGCGGTACAAGATTTTATTAAATGATAATGGGATAATGACATGAAGAACCGTAATGTTAGCAAAATACATTCTATTATACTAGTTACCCATAAAAATACCCATAAAAATACCCATAAAAATTCAGACAGTAAGGCACTTGAAAAGCTTTAACTTTGCAGAAGTAAATATTATGCCCTAATTTCATTTAATTTACTTTTGTGTGCAGAGTCCTGTAAGTATGTTACTCATGAGATTTAAAAAGGTTTTTTTCGTTCTTGAAATTCCTTTACCCAACCCGCGTGATCTCATCCAGTGATCACTACTGTGATTGTCTAAATAATTTAATCAGAGCGACAAAGTTATATTTCATATTCAACCCTCTCTTCCCAAACGGCTCGTTTGATAAAAATATCATATAGGACTAAATTTGTAGCCCAAATTTCTCGATGTTATCGAACAAATGGCCTTGAAACTGAACGCTGACAAAAGGTAATAAAATCTAGTCATGGAAATTTTTTTGAAAAAGTGTTAGGGTTGAGAAGAAATTTGGTGTCAAACGAATGGAATTGAAAGGAATCTGTTTTTTTGGGAAGTTGATAAATACGAGTTGCTGGAAATGGTCTCATTACTTTAAATGAAAACTTCTATAGGATAAAAAATATCGAAAAAGTCGAACTAATCGGAAGAAGTTCGACTTGTGTTGTAGAAGTTGAAGGTCACATAACCGATCTGCTGTGGTGGTAACGAACTCGTGGCGATGGTCCCGAGTAATCATGCAGGTGTTAGACTTCGATACAAACACCTGTGGTGTGTTCACATGATCGCACCTGATGGACCGCACCGCCATCGCATCTGACGCACCACCGGTGCACCTGTTGCACCAACGGCTCACCACCACCATACACCAACACTAACACATGAAAACACCAACACATGATAACACCAACACATCACTAAAACCTGATGCACCTCAGAACACAAATTATGCACACACAACAGCCGCGTTGCAATTCATCATCAACACACATGAATGACGCATCATCAACACACCGGAAGTGATGAATCACTATTGCTTCGGTTATATGAAAGGAGTATATATATTACCTTGAAGACTATGCACAATTGCACATCCAATGCACCAGAACCAAGAAACTCGCTTAAAATTATCAACACCTACCTTTCCGGTACCTCGCGCTAGAGGAGGTCAGTGAACCAATAAGTCCAACATCAGCACCTCAAGAAATTGAGATCCTGTAGGTAAGACGCACCCAAGTTTGTTTTGGGACACAACCAAAGACCATGCTGAAGCACCGCCCTCGACGGTTATCAAGCGCCACCCACCGGCGACGTCGAGAAATAATCTCATGCCACGTAACATCTCACATGCTTCACTGCAGCAGCCACTCCAGGCTTTCTCTCATTGATCAACATCATCCTCCTCCCACATTACCTCAGCCCTGGTGTGGCTACTGTGTGTGCGCGGTATCATTGTTACCGTGGAGCTGAAGTGCAGTGCAAGTCAGTGCTAGTCAGTCCCTCACAACCACGTATACAAGACAACTCACTAGTCACCCTTCCCTTCACTCAAGGTGTGCAGCAAACAGCTACAGTATTTTAGCAGTCCGTGATATTATAAGTAGTGAAAATTATTAATTTCGCTTGTCGTCGATTTTTTGGCTATAAACGAATTGATTCGCAGTTATGAAATATTTACATTGTGTCAAACGCGGCGGTTTTTGATTTCTGTGTATTTCATGACGCCTGCAGTGTTATTAATATGCAGATTCTATTACTTGAGTCATACCTCACTTCCATACACTTTTACCATGCGATTAATAGGAACAGTTATGTGGGTTGAACATGTGGATGAATTAAATAAATTAAAAATTCTGATTTTTTAAAACTCATGTCGGTTGTGTTAACTATATGTCACCCAATACAGCATAGAGGTACTGTATATACACTATCATTAAAATCGGCACTAAAGTATTTCCTGTTCTTTTTTGCGCCCGACAGAGACATGTTGTTACTGGTCGCCGTGCTGCTGCTGGCGGGCTCAGCTGCCGCAGAGTCGCCTGGACCGAGCAACCTCTTAGGCTGCAACAACGGCTGGAAGGCCAGTGCATGGATGGCTGGAACAGGCAACCTCAATACGGTGCGGATTTCATGCTAATATACATGCAATTTGCTATGAAAACCGCCAATAAAATCCGAAAACTTTGTTAATACACATGCAGTTTGCTATGAAAACCGCCAATAAAATCCGAAAAGTTTGCTAATATACATGCAGTTTAATCAACGCTGTTTGAAATTAAAAACATGACCAAAATGCGTATTATGCTCTCTGAGGCATACTTGGACGGCCGGCGATGTTAGTTCCACTTAGAGTGTTATTACTATGTGTGCTTACAGGCATTAACGTGTTATAAGTATTTGACGAGTTAAGTCTCATTTAAAATGAAATGACAATAGTACATTACGTTTTTTCTTACGCCCTGCGGCATATCTGTTGAGGGGTCCCATATAGATGATGATTTCTGTCCGTGGTAGTGCTCATATCACTTTATTTCTGTTCATGGTAGTGCTCATATCACTTTATTTCTGTTCGTGGTAGTGCTCATATCACTTTATTTCTGTTTGTGGTAGTGCTCATATCACTTTATTTCTGTTTGTGGTAGTGCACATATCACTTTACTTTTGCAACAAGTTCCATTTCAAGAGACAAAGTTCGAGTAAACTTTTCCTTTTCTCTTTCGACGGTAGGAAATTTGAATGACAGCTTCACTGCAAAATTTATTCGTGGTTATCGTTTGCATATTGCATATGAGTAATTATAATGCAACTTATTTAGTTCCAAGTGCGAATTAATGCATCTTATGCATAACAGTCGAAAAATTAAGGACAATCACCTAATATGCGTTTCTACTTCTACCATAATTTTGTTCATTGTTCAGACTTTATTCAGTCAAATATTATTCATAATTTTTATTAAAATAGGTTAATTAAAATTATATCTATGTCAGTTTTTAATTTTAGTCGATATCGATTTGTTATTAACAGCACGGTTGGATTTCAGGCAAAAGGAAAATTCTTAAACTCTTCGGAAATGCGAGAGGCAGCATGACGAGTTTGTGTAAATCTTTCAAATCGAGTAAAAATAAATCAATACTTAAATTAATTTTTTAAGCAAATCGCGTTGAGTTTACCGTAGAATAGTCACACCAGATACGGAATCAATTGCAAAAGAATAATATGTTTTTGGAAATTACTTTTTAAAGACAACACTTCGAAAGAATACACTGTCTCCTGTGCTACACATCTACAATGAATTCCTAATTTTATTTCCATATATTACAAAAATTGAATTTTTAATTATTTTTAATATATGAAAAAAATTTAAATTTTCAAAATTATTTTTTGTATCAATTGATTCAAGCATTGTCTCCGACTTTACGCAAGTGTGCAAAGTTTCAGATCGATTGGACACGTAGAAGTGTGTTGAACATCACTTATAAGATTTTTAGAAGACAAAATTATTTTTTCAATTTTTAAAGGTACAATTTTCTTTAATTTTTAAATTTATATATTCTGTCAATTGATTCCTGTATTTCTCCGACTTTACACAAGTGTGCAAAATTTCAGATCGATTGAAGAGGTAGAAGTGTGTTAAATATCGATTATAAGATTTGTAGCAGACAGGCAAACAAGAATTAACGTTAAAGAGAAGTGTTGTAAAAAGTCTCTTATAGGACTACAAATATTTTTGCACAGAGAAACTTTAAGCAGTTTAAACTAACTTAAATATCAATTAATTGACTATATCGAAGGCATAAATTATGATTAGAAATGTTCATTTCCATTTATGATGTTGCAACATTAAAAAAACATTTTTATAGTTCTGTTGAACGAGAAATGAGTTGAGTAGGTTTATAGTTTTTCAATTCCTTTTCCCGTAGCATGGAATTTTTTTAGTTTACAACGCCTGAAATCGTGATTTATGTATAAATTTGTTTAATTAACATAACTTTTTACCGACAGGTAGCTTCCACCGGATTGTACAATATCGTCTACAGGGATGGCAAAGCTGCGGAAAGCGCGTTTTCGTGCCCCCAGCTTAGCCTTAATGCCGCCGGTGGAACTTACACTTATAATTACAAGTAATAAACGAAGGAAATTAATGTATTTATCTCCGCTATATATACGAATGATCTTAGCACCAAAAATGTGAACATGGGAAATTGTTGTGCATAACAGGATCGAATATGATCATTTTAACTATATTTATAAGCGCATGGAGAGTCTTGAAAATAGTGAACTTTTAAATTTTATTGTACCTTATGGAACATTTATCTGAAAATTTTGATATTTCCGCAGAAATTCAGCAGGAGCGCTGGTTTCTCAAACCGGCAACTTGACGTGGACGGCAGACCCAGGATACTTCGACCTCCAGGGCATGAAGACTGGGCGTAAGAACAGATGAAAATACTCAATAAAAGACTCTATTAATAATTACAAAAATTATATCTGATGTATATACTAGTTGTCATCGCCAATGTTGTATATCAGTGACTTTCTGTTGTTTTAATCATCAAAAATGTTTTATGAGACGGTACTCGATAGTGATATGATATAGAATTCATATTTTCACCAATGAAGTCACATGTGTCCTCTGGTAAATATGTATTATAGTGACTGCAACAATTGGCTGGTTTAAAGTATTCTAGCACGTTTGAATCTCCTAACACAATTGTTATGCTAACTCTTTTCATGGAAAAAAGAATTGGCCGAGGATGAAGAATAAAAATATTCGAGAGAATGAGTTTTATTCATAGAAGTTCGTGTTCGTATTAGTGAACGGATAAGGAAATACTGAAAAACATTTTACAGATAAAATAGCTTATTTGTTGTCAATGTTACAGACCTGGGTACGGACTGCGGATGGTTCCAGAGCACTTGCACCGCTCGGCTGTACCCCTTCGATGCCGCGCCTAACGGGCTCCTCCTGAAGGCGTGCACAGGATGGTTCATCTTCGCAGCCCGTACGTCCAATTCTGGTCTAAATTTCAAAAAGCTTGTCTATTTTAAATTTCACGATGATGGATTCAATGTTGTTAGCGCACGCTTCAATATTTCCTATGCTATCATCTGACGCGAGATATTATTACATTTGACAAATCAATCCAAAATGTGAGTGCACTTGCATTATTTTTAAGTAAAATAATAAATTATCCACCCGAGTTCAAGATAATATTTCCTTGATTGACTTCACACGTTAAGAAACTCAATGAAAAGGTACAATAAATTTTTTACTCCTCTCCGTCGATATTGATGTCCAAATCACATATCTTTTCAGAGACCGCGTACTACCTCGTGCCTTCATCCACGGCATCCACCAACAATCCCTGCAATAACTGTTGAAGAAAACATCCATGGTTATGCGGAATGTCTTTGAGTAAAGCTAAATGACAGCAATTTCAAGCTAATGTTTTCAATATGAGCAGATAAAGCGACTGTGACTGTTATTATTGGTATAAATTGGGCATCATAGAAAACGTTTTCGATAATTTACAATCCGCCAATCGCTCCAAAATTAACTTCTCAATATTTATTCGATGGCTATACGTATGCCATCCAGCCAAAATATTCTATCTAATAATAGTTACATTTGTGTGATTAGGTTATTGTAGAGAATAATCAGTTGCAGGGGAAGATATATGATTTTTCATGTCTTTATAAAAATTTGGTAATGGCTGGCTAAGTTATCCTTTATGTGGGGGTTTAGGTTTGTAACGTGATGGCAAACCAGGTTGTTTATTATGAATATTTCATTTGAAGCAATAACTGATCCACTTCGGCAGATATTTATTGTCATTGATTCATTGATCCCAAGTCGAGACAAAAGTTTTAATAATGTGACTATCCTCCTATAAGTAATCTGGATCGTTATATAAATAATCTGGATCATTATATTAATAATCTGGATCATTATATAAGCAATCTGGATTATAATAAGTCTCTGTTGAGATTTGTCCCTACTTAAATAAACACTGGCTTTAGGTTTCATTGTGGAGAGTGAACCTAAAGCTAGAAACATCGAAATACTTAGTAATTAAGACTCATCCTGTAAATACATTCATCGTACGAAAATACATCACTATTGCAATATCGTTCATTATCCTTTAGCTTGTGAGGACAATATAGCTTGAGGCGCGATTATTTCAACAATATAACACTAAACATCGATTCACCACATTAGAAATAATAAGTAAGTTTTTAATTATAAGTAAGCAATTTTCAACCTAAATCTAAAATTTTGGGTGCGAAATTCCTAGAATTGTGCTTTATATGACGGTTATCTGAATAATGGTTTAATCAAAACAAGTTTGGCCAACATTTAAATGTCAGATAAATAAGATGCGATGTGATAAGTTCTGGATGTGATGAATAAGCTTTGAATTGAATTACAACTGAAGTTCATCCAAACTTTATCGAAGGCTCACTCTGTTATTTATCAGGTTAAAGAGAGTGAAACTCATTCATTTCATTCTGAACAATAGCCTCAAACATATGATCAAAATAGAGCGTTGGCAGCATTGACAAGTGTTTGCAAGTTGGGTGGTGACGTAACTCTTGTATATATGCTTATCGATCAGTTCGCCAGGTATTGCAGTACCAATATGTATGCTATACAGAACAGTCATTTTAGCTTTGAAGTTTCGTATGAGATCAGTTAAAATTATCTAAAATTATTACGCGGTTCCGAATCAACACACCAAATCTGCCGGGCTTTAGCCATATTGATAAATAAGTGGTAAATGTGACTTTTTATCTATACAAACCTCGCCAGTATTTTCATAATGACTATATTCCATGTAATTATCGTTAAAATGTACATAATTTGTAAGCAAAAATGAGTTACGTCTATTTATGATTGTTTGGCAAATGAGGTCCTAGGATATGTTGTGATTTGCAAAGCAGCCGCTTCCAAATCTTCTATTCATAACATTTTGAAGATCAAGTCAATAATATAGTAGCGAGATAAGGTCTAACTATCTAGTTCTTGCTGCTCGAGTTTTTGTTCGGAAACAGATTTATCAAGTGACATTTATGGCTCCTGACTAAAGTCATTTAGGCTGTAATTTTAGGTCTTAGGTAATTTTAGGTCTAAAAGCCATTTAGACATAGGTCTAGCTACCGACGTTCATTCGTTTAAAAGGCTGCCGGCGTTAATAAGTTTAAATGGATGCTGACGTTTATAAGTCTAAAATGGCTGCTGATGTTTATAAGTCCAAACTGGCTGCCTACGTTCACACGTCTAAACTGGCCGCCGACGTTCAATTAAGGTCAAAAGGCTGCCGAAGTTCATAAGTCTGAACTGGCTGCCGACTTTCATGCGTCTAAAATGGCTGCCTGCGATCGTACGTCTAAATGGCTGCCGACGTTCAAAGTTCTAAAAGGCTGTTGACGTTCATAAATCTTCATTCAGAAGATCTTCTAAAAAATGAGCGTTGTTTTTCAAAACAAAATATGGAAAATTGTTCATATTTGAGATAGTTATTTACGAGAATTATTCAAGGATGTCTAAGATCCTTAACGATTCACGGGAAGTTCACGTCTCATACAAATTTGTTAAAATCTTTATGACATAAAATACACAGAACAGTTAATCTTTATTAAACACACCCAAGTGTGCAGTAATCATGGTAAGGAAGACTGATGCTGTTAAAAAAAATCTATTTTTCTCCATTAATTTTCTTCATGAACTAGAAGGGCAAGCGGCTTTGCTCTCAATCTCATTAGAGAGTTCTCTGCAATTTGCTTTCTGGTGTACGTCGTCTCTTTTTGACGACCTGACTGCCTTGCTGTAGTGTTGTGCAACATTCAAAAGATGATATTGCAGTGCCACGTACTCCATTGCAAGGTTTACAACATACTTTTTTATTGATGCTTCGACATTTTCAGCCTTTGTCACTCTATACTATAAAGTGCATTTCAATAGATCGTAACCATAATAAAATAATGTTCACATTATCGATTCATTTTTCTTCATAGAACCCTTCGATATGCTTTATTTTTTTTTTAAAAAAGAAAATGATTTTCGATGGTTTAGAGCGTGGTTTGACGTGCAAATATGAAAGACAGGTAAATTTTTTATCTTGAATTCAACTGTGAGTCTATAAAATATAGGAATGGTAGGACTAGTTCAAATTTTCATTATTGAATTTTGTCGCCTCAATTAATGTGGTAGCCGCGAAAAGCGAAGTAAGAATTTTCTAAACGTGTATGGCACAATCTTCACATTTTAAGTTTTAGAAGGTTCATTCACAGTATTCATCACTTGTCATAAACATTTCAAAGAAATTGATGTTTCGTCTGTTTTTATTGATTGTAAATTAATTCCCAGCATTCGTCAGCATTTTCTAGTTTTTTTTTTAATTTTATTCAAAGTTGCAAATGTATTTGCCATGGTTGTGATTATTCTCTCTTCAATAGAATCTCATAACCTGTTTTTGCCGAATGTCAAGTGACCTTGATTTAGAATCTAACATAAAATCAACGTACAATTTTTTATTTAATAATTTTTGCTAGTGTAGAATTGCATGCAAGTTTATAACAACTGTAAATAATTTTTTCTACTTTAGAATTATTGTAACCTCAGCTTGAACCCAACTTAATTAGTGGGGTAAATCATCAGTCCAGCTTTTATAGGAATTTTATGATAGCTGCGTAATTGGACAATTCAATTTCGATATGCATATCTACTCCATTTACAACATGTGTTCAGGTTATGATGGTGGTCGTCGCATAGAAAGCCATTTCTGAGCCCAAAAACGAAAGTTTCTATAGACTAGCTTAACTTAATCGAGTCGTAAAGGGTTTTACTAGTAAGTTATCCGGTGATCAGAATGAGGATTTGCGAGTTAGGGAATTCTCAGGCACGCAGGTCTGAAGCCGCTTCCTGAAAACGATTATAGGATGGATCTATTGATGGATCCAACAAATGATTCTAACTGCAAATTTCATCCGTTATTGTACTCAGTGCGTACGCAGGTCAGTGAGAGTGAAGTGCTTAACTTTGTGTCATCATGACGAGTTACTCGCATCCCGGCAAACATTCCACGCGTCATTAAAGTCTCCTTATTTTTCTGAATATTTCCTTCGTACACTCGCGTTGCTGGCGAGGAATTCCAAAGGTAAGACGAGCCGCCGATCCTTCAGAGTTGCTACACAGTTGTGTGCCCTACTCATACTTTGTAGGTACGAGTAATATGTAAACTAGACTCCTGCGTTTGCGGTACTTTTTTCCAATCGAGACGAGACGAGACAACGGAATATTCCCCGTTTTGCGAAAAAAACCGGGACTATTCTCAGCACTGTGGGAATTCCGAAGCAATACCGAGACGAGATGAGACGTCCCGGTTAAAATAGGAGCTTTAAAATCTCCCGGAATTTTCATCTTTTTCATCTTTTCCTTAATATGTGATTTGAATAATTAATTGTTTCAGACATTCTCTGATCAACATTTGTCTATTGACAACGTTTCAGGTATATTAATATGTAAAATGACTTCGCTATTGCCCGTCTAGCAAAGTTGAAGGGATAGGGTGAAATGTTCGTCTACTATTCACATGTAAGTCTCGACTTTTAAAATTCAATGAAGCCTTGTCTTCATTGCAGATGTTCTCAAGTTCGTATGATGGCACAATAGATCTTTGTTTTGGCCGGCATTAAGTTTCTGGAGCCTTTGAGGACATGAAAGAGGTGTCCACGCATGCTCGATGTGTTGCCATTATTGAACTTGTAAATATCACCACAAAGTTTGCACCGACAATTGACCTGATTTATATTTCGGTTACTGATGGGTCTCTCCTGTTCTATGCTCCTCAAAATATTTTCAGCTACCAATTGATATTCGTGGCATCTTGCAGGACCTGAGTAAGCCCAACGTTTAGTTACCCTTGGGCTGTATGCCATGTGTTCAGTCACTAACAACCTAAATACGCATCAACTCCCGTTTTGCTTAGTTACCCGTAAAATGTGTTCCGTATGTTCAGTGACTGCCAACCTAAGTCCGTACCAACTCCAGTAATGCTAAGTAATCCTTGGAATGTGTGCCATGTGTTCAGTCACTACAGATCTAGATCAGCCCGGAGCTCTGTATTGCCAAGTTTTCTCTGGGATGCGGGAAATGTGTTCAGTCAATAGGGACCTAAATCCGCAACAACAGCCTGTAATGTTGTAACTCGTAGGATGTATGTTGTATGTTCAGTCGCTATCAACCTGAATCAACACTGAACTCCATGCTACGTGGCCATCCCTGGAGTGGATGCCATGAGTTCGGTCACTACTTACCTAAATCCTAACCCACTCCCGTACTGCTGAGTTTCCCTAGGAATGTGTACCACGCGTTCAGTCCATTGAGACCAAAAGCAGCACGGAACTCTGTACTGTGAAGTTATCACTGGACTACTCTACATGTGTTCAGTCACTAGGTACCTAAATCCATACCAACCCCTGTAATGGTTAGTTACTCCTAGACTGAGTGCCGTGTATGCGATCACTGATAACCTAAAGCTGCAAGGACTTCACAGGAGTGCGTGCTATCAGTCTCAATCTATATTGAAGCGTACCGTGAGTTTCGGGCATAGTTTTTTTTTTATATTTCTGAGGTGAGTGCACTGTGCAGTTAAGTGTCGCTGGCTTATACATCAATGTTATATTGGGAGCCCAGGGCGAGAATATTGTGTTTCTGAAATATTATGACCATCGTTTTAAATTGAAACCTGCCTATCATGTCTCTAATATCATATTCCTTGATTCCATTTGATTGCCTCTTCGTTGCTGACCTAGAACCTCCAGTCATTCTGCATTTAATAGAGTAACGCAGATCAATAAGAAATCAATTCTCATCAGAATATATAGTCTGTTCAAAAACTCGGCATGTGTCTCGTTTTATTTAAATTTCCATAAGCCTATTAATTAGTGGCAATAACGTGTCGGATGTTCAGTGACGTCACCTGTTGTATAATCTTAGGGTTAGGGTGGGAGTTGGCTTCGGAGAGTGAAATGTTGACTTTACATTTTAATAATAATTAATTGTGGCTTCATCTGAAAATGAATTAATTGAATAATTACCTCTTTCATTCAGCCATATGACAAAAT